TTTCTCAAAGACTGAGAGAACTTCAATTCCTTGAAGGAAATAGTGACAAAGTCCAGCTGTTATCTTATGACCTAGGACCATTTTATATAATCCTAGTTTTATGTATGTAAGAAAATCTATGTTGTGTCCATAAAAATAAACTATTATATGGAGAATAGATTATGGGTTTTTATAAGTCAAAAGATACCAGTAAAAGGGTGATAAACCAAAAGCTATTTGCTACATCCCTACACCAAGTTTTCTCAACCTCAGCACTACTGACATTTTGGGCCAGATAAGTCTTTGTTGTGGGGGCTGTCCTGGGCATTGTGAGACTTCAGCAGCATCCTCAGCACTACCCACTAAATGCCTGGTGTGCGCGCGTGCACACACACACACACACACACACACACACACACACACACACACACACACCTGTGGTTATCAAAACTGTCTCCAGGCATTAAATCCTGCGGGCCAAAATCTTCCCTAGTTGAGAACTACTGATGTAGATTTAAGTTGCAAAAATGGGTTAGTTTATCTCTCTACAAATGCAAATATATGTTTTCCATGCACACAGATATTTTGGGTTTTAGTATGTGTTAAACCATCTCTTGTAATGAAAAGAATTCATTTGTAGTGCCAGTGGCGAAGTAGAGAAAAAGGTACATGACAAGCACAATTATATTTCAAAGCTTCATGCCATGTCATGAAACAGGCAAAATAAGACACTAACATCACATTTATATTCAGCAAAGACAAGAATATAAACAATTAATGTGTGCAGTGGCATGATATTCTCCTCCTATTCTATAACTTTCATATAACCCTCTCAGCAGAGTTCAAAGCTGATGCCATCCAAAAAATTGACTCTAATGTAATTAACTACTTGGGGAAAATATTTATCATAGCATATGTTAGGACACCATACCACCACACCTAACAACTTTATAATTCAGCACCATAGTTTAAGAAAAAAGAATGCCAGCAGGCTGCCTGGACTAATATTTAAAATGTTTAATATACACGGTTCTATGAAAGTTAACTGGCATCCTTTCATTGCACTCTAAAGAATGTGAAAGATTCTTTGGTGAAATCAGGACCCACCATTACTCAGAATGATGCTAAAACCAGAGACTCCAAGGTTCTCTACAATCTTGACATGAACTTGGTAATATGAATGAGAATTATTCAGCAAGAAAATAAAGCTCTGTATTTTGGAGGGTTGTAACCACTAACTGATTAAGTTACAGCATTCCTGTCCACTTCCTGGAGATTGCTTCAAATTTAACTACCCAAAGACTGTTCTTTTTTATGTATACATAACAGTTTCATTGAAAAAATTTACAGCTGCATTTTACCTCATATTCCATTTTAGATGCAGGTAGTTGGACTGAATGAATTTAAAATGTAATTGAATGACCAAAGAATAAAAACCTCCTTTTCTGGCTTGGAATAGTTTAATCTGTCATTGCAGTAAAAAAAAAAAAAGTGAGTTACATTTTTAAAAAAATAGGTAACAGCATTAGAAATCTGTCTTCCTGTTTTATGTTGCTCTCTTTCTCCAGTCTACTTGCCAGAAGAATTTCCAATTTCCCGGGAAGCTACAGATTTAATAGGCTAACAAGCAGTTACCATTCTTGTTACTGGACTGACTCTATTTCAGTCTGTATCTAAACAAATCTTATTGTTGTTTCTGCACTATTTTCTGATATTAAAGAAAAAAAAATCAAGTGACATGGTAGCTGGTAGAGAAGAGCAAGCTAGGTTGATTTCTGAGAAAGCAGCAATTTCTTAAGTATTATTTTCCCCTTTCAAGATTCAAAATCAAACAAATATACCCTCCTATATTTTTAATGAAAAAATGAACACTAACTTCTAAAATTTGTGCTAAGCCAAATGAACTCATTACTGTGTTCTGAAACAGCTTAGCACACTTTGATGAATATATTAGCTGTGGAAAAACAAACATGCTATAGTAATATCACAGTGTAAGCAAATCTGACTAGCCTATTGCTAATTAGTACTAAGACATAAAAGATGTCAGAGCATTAGAGTATTTGAAGAAAAGCCAAATGCCTCCAACACTCTCAATTCTTCTGTACATATGTATAAATCCCCTAATGTAAATAAATCTTACCAATTTATTCTTATTCTTTTGTGAAGTTAGTTAAAAATTAATGAATAAGAAATTAAAAAGAAACTACTGTAATAAAGTTAGAATATTCTACCTGAAAAACAATTACAATGAAACTATTTACACTCCCATCAAATTATAAACATTTTTCAAGGGATGCTCTGCAATACAATTTTTTAAACAACATTTTCTTATTATTATTCTTGTGACTTAAACACTGTAGGTTTATTTTACATTTAAAAATACACTTATTAGCATTAAGAGCCTTACTTTCTCAGAAAAAGAACTTTGTAATTGAAAGTAACATGTTGAATGCTTAGGAGAGCTTTTTTCTTCAAATACATTTGTAAACTTCATCTTTCAACTAAGAGGATTACTTCTCAGCTATATGTAATTGCCAGAAAGTTGTGTTGAAATGGTAGTATGAATTCCTTCTGGGAATTCCACCAGTCAGATTTTAGAGATACACAGTTCTCTGTACAGAACTGGACAAATACCAACAGTTTGTAAATGTGTTCACTGCTGTTCTAATGCTTCACCTCCTTTCAAAATTATATTCTTATTTTCCAGAAGGAAAGCCTTTAGCTTAATTCTTATCCTAAAAGAGAGATCATTATTTAAAGTAAAAAAAAGGTTACCTTCCTAGTTTTAGATATGCAATCAAACAAAGCCTCTAACTATAAGAGACAATGTTAGGTTTTTCACTAAGAAAAATTCCCTCTGTAGTGGCTGGCTCCAACTTAGCAAACTTGAACTGTGCAGATGTTGAAGCAGCTCTTGCTTACACTAGGGAAGAAAGGAGAATGAGACATCCCCCAGCTGCCTACACCAGCTTCCTTCCCAGGGGCGCAGCTGCAGGCTCTATCAAGCTCAATCACTTTGTAGCAACTGGGATCCCAGGCAGGGGCTAAGAGTCCCAAAGGAGCTTAGATTTTTTCCAGTACCACAGCAAGAAATAAGACTACTTAAAGAATAACCAGGTATTTTCAACAATTATGTGGCCTCAGGCCAAAGAAATAGGAACAAAAAAGAACATCTGTGGTGAGAGAAAATAAAATATGTTTCATGTTTTTAAGACTTCAAGCTAGTTGGAGATCCTCTTTGAATGTTTGTTATGAAAACAAGAGTATTTGATCTTTATACTTGACCAGTTTTTTTACTAGGGAATAGGGCAGGAGGGGGGTGCGTGACAAGAGGATGGTCAAGTTAAAGAAACACAGAACTTAATTAAAAGTCAGTTCAACAATTGTAATCTAACTCATTCACTGCAGGGTTTTAAAGGAATGAAATGCATATGACAGTAATATGTTTAAAGGTACTGCACTCTTCCATTTTACCTCAGTATACATTCTCACAAGCTCTTTTGAACATTTTAAAGATAGTGACTAAAAACAAGCAGCCAGAGAATATTCTTCCCTACCTGAAGATAACTGATGCTACGGCAGATGCCATTTCTTTAGGATAAATCAGAAAGGAAGGCGTTAAAAACATATAGTTCCATTAAAGTAAAAGAAATATATAATCATTATTCCCCACAAAATTATGCTTTTATACTAGTCATCTTCTAGGGTAGTAAAAGACAATATATGGTTGCATTTATTTAGTAGTTTCTGTAATATCTTGATTTTACAATACCATTACAATCATTAATTCTTACATGGTCAGAAAACCACTATTACACCTTCATATAAGCATTTGCAAGAATTTACCAGATACAATAATGAAAACAATAATACTGATACTACAATTTATTGTGGGCTTGCTATGATTCAAGCACTATGCTGAGAGCTTTAGTTACATTGCCTCATTTACACCCTCTCCATATATTATCCCCATTTTATAGGTGAAGAAATTGACTTTTAAGGTCACTGAGCTAATAAATGGGAATAGCCAGAATTTAAACTTTTTGACTCCAAATTTCATGTGCTAGTTATTATGCTCTATTTACTTCATTAGAAATGACATTTATACATTAATTTGGAACACTTTAAGTATTTTTGAAATAAATTTTTAAGGTTTATACTATGTTATCAGATTGTTCTACTCAGAGAAAAATAGCCTTTCTATATGAGATGTTAGTTATATCTCACTTACATTGCTTATAATCCTTTTTTGTTCTCTACTGATTTTTTTAATAGCCAGAAAAGACTAATTTCAGGCTAGGGTATTAGTAATGCAATAATTCCATGAATGTTTTCATATTCTAAGTATCTTAAGTTTCAGATGCGTATTTTTCTATTTTAGGTTGACCCTCAAAACTACAAGTCAAATAGCTTTTAGATAATTAATTTTAGGTTACAGAACAGACACTGAGGCATACAAACACCAAACCATGTCTGGAAATGTAGAATAAGAAGACTTATTCATATTGATGATACAATATCAAGTAAGAAAACATCAAGCCTCAAAAGGCCTTTGTTTACAGTTCAACAATATTCCTTCAAAACAATGCAATATACTACAGCAAGAAGGAATATATGAGGCAGAAGTTGTTGACATATGGGGTGTGCACAGAACTTCTGGTTAATGGAAGTTCCAAGATGTATAAATAAAAAATGATGTGTGAATTGGTGGAAAAAACTGTAAGGCAAGTCAATTTTTTAATTAAAAAATTATGTAGCATAAACAATGCTAATGAGCCAAAAGTCCCATGGGGTTAGGACTGTATCTGTTTCATTTTAACATTCCACTCACTTTTCATAAGTGTATATCCACTCACTTGAAACACCTCAAGCAGAACCCTTTTCATAAAAGAAAGTTTTGAAGATTTCTTTGTCCTTGTTCTTAACAGCTCACTATTTTCTACTCAAGTTGCCAACTTAGTGATATATGACATTTTTACAAAGCCCTAAAATCCTTAAATGAATCACCAGATAATAAATACCTGGCAGTTCTTCATAAATTTCATCATCAATTGGTTGACTGCTTGCTGATGGACTGCTGATTGGTAGAGGATGATCAACATCATCATATAATTCTCCTCTTTCATCATCATCCTCAGGAATAACATCAGATCCCATATCTATAAGACATGTTTCATATAGTGAATTTTTAAAAAATGCGAAAGAGATTTTCAAAACCTTATTTCCTATATTAAAGGAGTCCTACAGAGTCACAACATTGTTAAAGGCTATATCCTTAAAACATTTTTAAAAACTGATTGTTACATAAATATGTCAATTTCAAAGTTGCCAGCTGGTACTTACAGAAGAGACACTTTTACAATCTGAAGGGAATGGTCTATTAATACCAGTCATGTTCCCTTGGTCATTCTCACAGAAGTCAAGAAGCTTTTGTAAATAAAAATCTAAATCATGCAGTTACATTCAGTATTTAAAGACTGTAATAATTTGTTCAGTGGGTTGCTCTTACCTTGTAATACAAATCTCAGTTGCTGTACCCATTCTTCAGCATCTTTGGGAGAAGCTGCTGTGAACTAATAAAAAACAAGCAATAACAAGAAAAATCACCACAGCAGAAATGAAAGGTATGTCACATTCTTATCATTTCTTTAAGACCATTAGTAATTCTTTTCATGTCTAGTACTACTTTTCTTGCAAGGATGCTTCTTATAATGTACAGCTAATTTTGACAAAGTTACGTAATTGAAGCAGAGGATGATGGATTTGAAACTCTGATCAGCAGCTGGCAGCTGTGCAGGAAAAAAAGCTGCTTCTCTTCATCAATGTCAAAGACAGAACTGATGAACAAAATTTGCCCTTGACAATTAGAAGACACCCATGAATTTCTTTAGACTGCTGGGTACAGATTTCTTAAAAATGTTCTTGTCATATTCCAACACACTACCTGACAACTTAATTAACTGCCTTTCAACTGCAATCTCAGATATTTAAAACTTATTAAATATACATTCCATGTTGATGTTAGTTGATAGCTCTTGAACTGCAGAGCTGATATGTGCTCATACCTTCATTTTCTCCTACAACTCTAAGCAATAAAATATGCATTAACACTTTGATATTTTCCTTTTGATAATTTTACTCTTTCTGCTAAGTAATTCTTCTAAAAAATTGCACAGTTCTATTAAAATAGATAAAAGATGTAGCACGAGGTAATTGATAAGTCATTTTCACTTGTTCTCTTCGAAGCAGATAACACTTCAACTGATCTGAAGTGTTTTTTTAATGTATTTCCTCCTATATGAATGTTCAGTGTACAAAAAATGTATTTTTTATTATTTCTAACATGTCATGGAGTTGTTTTAACAAAATATTAATGTCTTTATAAATGAAATCAGAACATTTCATCAACTTAATTTCAAAACAACATACAAACTCCAACCTGATAGATACGTTTATCAGGAGCACAGATTTCAAAACAGCAGTCTTTCTTTCCATCCTTCCTGAGAGTGTTATTCATTCTGACATTGTAGCCCTCTAGTGCAAATTCGCCTTTCTGTTGTTTGTCTGTTGAAGATAAAAAGAAAGTTAGAATTCCATTTAGCCCAATTGATTATCTTTTATTTAGATACTCTTTGTCAATTCTTGGAAAGAGTATTTTTTGGTCACATTGCTTTGAAAGTACAATGCTTAAATAATGTTTCTAGATATCATTTAAAAGCTAGAAGTATTTGGGATGGTTGGATTTAAAAAGAACATCTTAGGGAACCAGAGTTAGAGGTCTGCAGATAGTAGTCTTATTCAGAATGAAGTATGGAAATACAACTTCATGTAGGGGAAATCCAAGAAATGGAACTTAGAACTTGCTAGACAAGGTCACTACAAATTCTTGGCTCTTCCAGATTTTAGGGGTAAAACCTGGCTAGTTGAAAACTTGCTGGGTTTTATTTACCACTATCTTATCTCATCACTACCCTACCACCTCCAGCCCCCACAAAGCCTCTATAACACACATTTTCTTTTAAAAAATATCTACGAGTTGATACAAACCAAAATCCACATTTAAAAAGAAAAACAAACAAAAAATCCCCCTACTAATTATAAAAAGTTGTGGGGGAAAACAAAGAAAAGCAAGTACAGAAGCATTACTTATCAAACAAAACAAAAAAAGTAGGTTTCTTAACCAGTCAGTGAACAGTTAAACTGGCAAAGCACATTTGAACCCCATATAATAAAGACTCAAAAGAAGAGTCAAGTTCTAGTCAGATATTTTAAAGACAAATAAAGTAGGAATATGACAAAGGACTAAACACTCCACAAATGAAAATAAAATCAGTCAGCTTTCCTCCTTTACCCACTTTACACCATTTTGACAGAAGAGCTGTACAGCTATAGGTTTATTCCCTAGATTAAACACAATATTAAAATCATGAGCAAGGACAACTGTCTCTTTTACTAAGCTCAGGGGAAATACAGAAATGCTTCCACATTGTAGGGTGAAGGGCTTGCTCAGTGCAGTGTACTAAGGTAAAATATTTAACTCCTTTTCTTAAATATACTAATTCAATGCGTGAAGGGATATACATGTTTAAAAGGTCATCAAGATTGTATCTTGTTCAAAACAACAAATGAGAAAAAAATCTGCATTAGAAATTCCTGACTTAAATCTGGACATCCTAATTTACATCTCTTTGGATGACTGAAAAAACAACTTAAGATTAAAAAATTTGAAGTTTGCTTTGTGGAAAAAGTCTACAATGAACCCTATAAGGTTCAGAAAAACTACAAAAATTAGAGCAGTGTTTCCCAAAGTATATTTTATGGGGCATTAATAAGTTACTGCCTCACATAAGTTTCAGAAATGCTGAATTAAAAGTTTTAAAGAGGTTTTGTTAGCCCAGGCCTTCCTAAGGCACTTAAAATATTTACATATTGATTAAATTTCTATGAGAAAGATTTAGTATGAATATTTCCCAGAATCCTTTTTTTACAGAACATTTTATGGAACTGGCACTTCCAGGACATATTCTGCAAAATACCTAACTAGAAAAACGATACTGGAGGAAAAATACTAAAATAATAAATGGCTAAGCAAGTTAGTTCTTCTAAAATTCTCAAAGAAGACTGAGTCATTCACTCACTCATTCAACAGATTTATATTGAGCTCTTAAAACAAGTGAGGGAGCATTATAGGTATGGTGAGGCAAAAGCTACTAATCACCTTACTAGACTTTTCTCACCTTCCCCTAAAATACACACACACACATACACACACAATACAAATTTAAATGTTCCAGGAATATTGGTCAGTGATCCACTAGACTGCAAAAGGATTTAATTCACTACAAAACACGGCATTATCAGAGGCAAAATATCAAAGCCATACAGGACAATTTTGAGAGATTTCCTTAAACTCCCCAGGGAAAAACAGGATTTTTTTTTCAAGGACCAGATGGAGGAAAGTGGCTCCCTCACTGCATAAGGGCTTAATTGCTCCAATCATGTGGTTCATCTGACCTAAGCCCAGGCTTTCTACCTCCACTCTGGGTCTAAAATTCTTGGCAATGTGACATGAGTGGGTATAGAAATGCATAAGGAGTGGGAGTTTACATCTAGAGATGTAAAGTCAGCACTACATAAACTAAGTGTGGGAGAGCTGCAGGGAGCAGGATACTTTCTCGTGCTAGATTATCTAGGAATAAGACAGCTTGGCAGCCAAATTGGGTGACTCCCTCCTTAGACTAGTAGATCCGCTTTAGACAAAACCCCCAGAAATATGTTATGGGGCCATGTATCAGATCTTCTGTTAGAGTCTAAGAGGAAGACATGAGCAGCCTCTAATCAGATGCACCAGAGAGAAGCCACTAACCCAATCTAGAAGTAAGTATCCCAGAGTATAGAGATAAGGATAAGTAAGAAGGGAAAAGTCCAAGGATATGTAAAAGAGGAAAAGCAAACAAATGAAAACAGGTGCCATAAAAATATTACGTAATACAGGGGAAATAGATAGCTCCTGCAGGGCTGCTGGCCGCACCGCTTCTGTCCACTCGGCAGAGGGAAGTGTTTTCCCCAAAGGACATCAATGCAAGCCTGAATAAGAAAAACAATTTCTTCCTCCTAAGCCTTGGCATATCAGTTACACAGAAATACCACTTTGGGAAACAGCCTTCAGGAGAGCCTTGATGAGCTCATACAGTCTCAACAGATCACTCCCCAACCTGCCCTTCAAGTTCTACTTCAGTTTGATAAGGCTATAAACTCAGCATTGGCTCAAAGGGTCAGGAATAAAGTAAATTTCAAAGACTCTCTGAATACATACAGATTCTGCGATAATGTGTGGACTTTTGTATTGAATGATGTTGAATTCAGAGAGGTGACAGAACTTATTAAAGTGAACAAAGTAAAAATTGTAGCCTGTGATGGTAAAAATACTGGCTCCAGTACTACAGAATGAATAGAAAAAAAGCTTTTTTACGCCATCTTGTTATTATTCATCACTTTTTGAAAAGAAGCATAGAAGAGGCTTTTAAAATTTTTTTTAGCATTGCAGAAATGACTACATTGTGCTGTCAGAGAATTCCAGTAGAAAGAAGCTTATAACTTTGTAGCCTCTTACATTATCTTCACTGAACTGCATGAAGAAACAGAACTTTTTTTAATGAAAATCAAAAGTTGCCTTCCTGAGAACATTCTTTAATAAACTGATTTTAAAACTCAAAAAAAAATTATGGAATACAAAAGGAAAGCACTCAAGATGTAGAAAGCAAGAGCAAACTATGAGAAATGGAAAAAAACTTTGGACAGTTGTTTTGCATCTTTCATAAAGTAAAAAAAAAAACAAAAACCAGACTCAAAAAGAGATGAAAAATGAAAAATGGCTGAGAAAGGTAGATATTGGAATAGAACTGGAAAAATAAGGGGTAAATAAAAGGAAATAGAAAAATGCAGCAGCAAAAAAAATGCAATGAAGTGATAAAAAGCTGAAAATTTTAAACATTGTTGAAAAATCAGATCAGATATACCTTAAAAGTTTCTACCCCCACAGGTAGAAAAAAAGAATAATGAGGAAGAGGAGAAAAGGAAATATAATGGATATAGAAGACTGACAGAAATACAACATAAGAAAATGGGTATTCCAGAAGAAGAGTAACAAAATAGTGTCAATAATCAAAGGCAGAAGAAGAAACTCTCATTCCACCAAAGAAAGACCTAAGTCTTTCAAAAAATAAAACAGTATTTGAGTTTAAGCAAGTAAAAATAATAAAAAGAAACTAAAACCTAGACATACTCAGCTGATTGTTGAGTATTTAAGGATAAGTAATGTATAAACATTTGAGTCAAGGTAGAGGTATGGAACCAGAAAGGCTGAAGAGAATAGAAGGAAATCCATAAATCTTTCTCAATAGCTTTTGCAAATCCATAACCATATGGATTTTGCAAATCCATAGCTGTATTTCCAATTAGTCAATCTGGGATAGGAAGTTCAAGACATGAAATGGACAGACATGGTTGTGATAAGACTCTGCTCTTTTCCTTTCACATTAGCATCTTTTCTAGACAGAGAAAAACGAGACCTTAGCATTATATATTAATCCATAATTTCTGTGTAAGTTAGTTCCACAGTGCCTTCTAGGATAATTTCAAGGACGCCTGTTGACTTGACATGGGCAACATGCCAATCAAATAGGAAATAAGGTCATATAAGTTCATTTACCCAAAACTATAAAAAGATTAATACTATTTCATCTAAGTGAACTTCTGAAGCAGCAGAAGCTTATTATTGTGTGAAAAAACCCTTTAAAATATTAATCATTATAATGGCAATCTGAAATACATACTCCCCTGACTTCTCAAGAACTCTTTTAAACTCAATTTAACATTTTCTTGATGATGTAGTCATATTAATTTGAGTATTAGTTTTTATATTATAACACATTGAAGCCCTCTGGATTTTTGAGGTGTTTGTCTCTCTTACTAAATTTCCTTCAGCTTCTATTTCACACTTTAAACTTGCCTATAACATGCTGTTATAATTTAATGTCTATAGAACTGAAGGCTGCCAGGAGAAACTAGATAATGAAATCTATTAAATCAGTAACTTAATTTTCACAATTCTAATTCAGTAGGTTCAAGGTAAAAAGCAGTTTGATCACATAAAACAAAATGCATGAGGTAAATGATAGCTATTTCTGTCTATATTTACAGTGGCTTTTGGGTTTACATCTGTGTTCTGGGTTTTTTAAATGCCAAAAGAAAACTCACATTTACTGAGCTCCTACTATATGCCAGGAATTTAATATAGCTTATCTCATGCACAAGTTATAATAATTCTGAGAGACAAGGTATATCCCCAGCACTTGAGAAAACAAATTTAAAATAACCAATTGTGTGTACAGCCACACAACCAGTCAAGTGGTCAAAGCCAGGACCCTAATATAAGTCTGATTCCAAAGCTTGCTTTTCAACCATTTCACAGTGTCTCCTAGAAAGGAGTTTCTCAATGTATATTTCAAGACTCACCTATTTTACAATCATCTTGGATGCCTGTTAAAAATGCAGAAATGGCTACTACTCTGCCCTTGCTCTATAGGAATCCCTGGGGTAGGTCCAGGAAACCAGGAGGGGTAGAGGGGAAGCAGAACAAGCTTCCACCACAGAAGCTAGAGGGAAGTACATGTTCCCTGTTCCAGGTGAGTCAAAGCTCCAGCCTGAAACCCAAATTCAAATTAAGTAATAAAAAAAGAATCAGGGAGAGCTCAGAATTCATTCCTGTGGCAGTAGCCCTCGCCAACTGGTAGCTGTTCAGGGTGGTAACTCCACAAATCATGGCTTGGCAGGGCTGGCAGTGTGTCCCAATTAGACTCTTCCTGGAGGCAGGGGACTGGGCAAAAGTTCTAGCCACTTTACCTCCTTTAGTCCTCACCTGTTTTCTGAGTCTGGTTGTTTAGCCTTCCCATCAATCCTGCCTGAGAGCCAATATTTTCCCAAGAATTTCCTTTCTGCATAGTTAAACAAAGTTGGTTTCTGTTGTTTATACCAAGAATGCTAACTTGGTACAAACGGCTAGCAAACACATGCAATATGTTCAGAAATTTTTTATAACAGCTGCTGCTTATATATAAGAAGGCTTTTCCCCCTGAGTGACTAACTCATGTTTATTTCCATATTAATGCTCATTAGTAAGAAAGAGGAAAATATACCCATTATTACTAAATCCTCCCATTAAACTTTATCACACTGATTAGCAAGTTGTTCTAAACCCTCAGTTAAAGATAGATGAATATTTTCCTTGTTTATACAGCTCAGAGAAATATAGCTGTCAACGCTAATTCAACCACTTGAAATATACTTCTGGTGTTTTGAGTTGTACTGTGAGGAAATATATAATTATTACTATTTTAAGTGAAAAATACTATATATTGTAATATGTATATATATTTGTTACTTATGAGCCCCAAATGGTTCTGAATAATAAACGCAGGCAATTATAATGGGTCCAAAGGGAAGCACTTTAGTTAGAATTAAAAGTCTGGTTTATAAGGTCTAGTAGCAGGAAATTTTAGATATTTCCAAAACCATTTTTTTTCTTTAAAATAAAAGTACACGACAAACATAAAAATGAAATATTTTCTTTTTAAAGAGCCACTCATTTTCAACTATAGCTGTGAACTTGATTTAAAAACAATGTAGTACAAGGTAGCTGTGAATGGAGAATAAATAAATTACAGGCATTTTTGTAGAATGGGAAGTTAAAGCTCTGTTTCTTTTTTTTTTTTTTTTNGAAAACCTGCAGCTCCTTCATGCTCCTACGGTGGTAAACATACTCTCTGGACTCTCAGCCACTCAGCTTTGGAGCACATCTTGCCTCCTCTCACCTCCTCCTGACAGCTGGCGATGTGATCTTTCTGACATTCAACCAGAGTTTGTCAGGCTATCTACTTACTTTCAATGCTTAGAAACATTAGCTGCCCAAGAAAGGCCAAACTCCTGATGAGGGCTTGTACAACTTGACCCCACCCCTTCCTGGCTCTCCAGAACCCTGCTCACCTGCTGCCTCAGGGAGCCAGCTCCTGCATATCACACTGCTTTACAGGTCCTCTGGGCCCACTCCTCTGAGCCAGAGTATTATACTGCTATGTGTTAATAATACCTGACACATCAATGTTCAAAGAAAAGACTACTGGTACAGATTTGTCTATTATAGATCGAGAGATAGCAGCATCTACACACATCTCTCTCTCTATATATAGCAGTGCACAGTTTGACTTAAAATACATTTACCTTCAATCTTTAATATGTATACAAATGTATAGATCTATTTTAAACCAAACTGTCTTATTTTATTGCAAACCAACATGATTCCCCATCATCAGACCCTTAATAAGACTTAGTTTATACCTGAATATATCTGCATGTTAACGAAATACTACTAAATATCAAATGTACATTTTAATTTCTCTGAACTATTACTTTAGGGTCTCGTAACTATAAAGGCAGAGAAGAAACACCTTTTATTTAATATTTATTGTGATAAACCTTAAAGTTAATGCTTGTATATCAAAGGCCCCAAAGTCCATAAAATTGCAATAACTTCTGATAAAAAGTAGAATTAGTTATTCCTATTTCTTAGGCAACAAAGATATTATCCTTCTTTACACAAACAAAATTATAACATTAAATTTAAAAATATCAGTATTCATTTAAACATTTGACATATATTCATGATATAATTATAAAATGCTAATACCTTGACCCAGGAATTTGCCTTTATCATCTGAATCAGGAAAAAAGGCAAACTTTTATGGCTCTTACCAAAGTTGATGTTACAAAACAACAGACCTTCCAATTATACAGACACTCTGTCACTTTAAAAATATTTTTTAAATACTAAAAGATAACTGTGATGCTACTTCAACACCAAAACACCCTCATACTTTTTATCCCAACTGAACAAATGTGTCCTACTTTTTCCTCTTTTTCCTACTAATGGTGAAGTTGTGGGGGAAGTGAGAGAGCAGAAAGGTTAGTTTCAATGAAAAACTTTATTTCTGTGTCAAACTGAAAATTTTCTTACTTTAAATTATCTCTATTAAACTAAATTTTCTAATGACTTTTTTGTTTTGTTTACTGTCCTATTTCTGTTTCCAAATTGTTATGTGCTTTGTTCACAATGAGATTAATTATCTCTGATTGTAAGCAATACTGTCCACCCCTGTCAGATACCTAGTTAAAACTTTAAAAAAAAATTATTATTATGCTTTTACATCCAGGAGCATGATATAGCTCTTCATTTATTCAACAAATTTCTTACTAATAAATTTATACCCCTTCACTCATTTCTCTCACCCCCATCTCCTGCTTCTAGCAACCACCAATTTGTTCTCTTTATCTATGAGCTTTATTTTTAACATTCCACATATAAGAGAGATCATATAGCATTTGTCTTTATCTGTCTGACTTACTTCACTTAGCATAATGCCCTAGAGCTTCTTCTGTAGTTTTGCAAATGTCAAGATTTCATTCTTTTTTATGACTACATAAATATATTACATATGTGTGTTTGTGTGTGTGTTTGTGTGTATACACATATACACCTTGTCAAATTAACTGACCATACATGTGTAGACTTATTTCTGGGCTTTCTACTCTGTTTAATTGATCTCTGTGTCTGTTTTCATGCCAATACCAACTGTATAACTACTATCACTTTCTAATATAATTTAAAATCAGGAAGTATGATGCCTCCACCTTTGTTCTTCTTTCTGAAGATTGCTTTAGCTATTCAGGGCTTTTTGTGATTCCATACAAATTTTATGATTGTTCTATTTCCTTGAAAAATGCCAGGGGAATTTTGATAGGGATGCACTGAATCGGTAGATTGCTTTGCATTGTATGGACATTTTAACAATACTGATTCTTCTAATCCATGAGCACAGAATATCTTTCCATTTATTTGTGTCTTCTTCAATTTCTTTCATTAATGTTATATAATTTTCAATACACAGGTCTTTCAGCTCCTTGGTTAAATTTATTCCTAGGTATTTTACTCTTTTTGATGCAATTGTAAATGGGATTGTTCTCTGTATTTTGCTTTCTGATAGTTCACTATTAGTGTACAGAAATGCAATAGATTAAGCCCAAAATTCTAATGACTTGTTATACACTGAAAAGCTATTACAATGAAAAATTACAACCACAGGATGTTAACTTTTAACTAACCACATGATAAATAACTTTTGATATACATTTAGAATGACTTGGTAGGACCTAGGCTACTTGCAGCTGCCACATACTGAATGGCACTAGAATTTTCTTTAATTGGGAGTACCAGGGAGGGGCAGAAAAATCCCTTAAGTGGAATGAAAAGAGATACACAAACTAACCACTTCCCCCTCAAAAGTGGGAAAAGGTAAGTTTCATAATGCTGATTCAAGATCATACAGAGGATAAATAGAAAAATGAGAGTAAAAAGAAAACCACCACAAGTTTGAAATAGGTTCCTAATGGGCAGGATGCTGTGATGCTTTGGTGCCGGAGCAGTCTGCACTATAACTGTGTATGACTCTGAGCAGCCCTGTGATAACCTTTCTTGCCTAATATCATGCTGGCCCAGTCTCTATCCATTCCAATCCAACCTCTGTAATACAATTACAGTTACTTCCTAAAAACCAAATCTGGTCATAAATCCCTATGCTTAAAGGTCATATTCAAGATAAAATACTAACAAGGCCCTTTTTCTTATAAGGCTCTGATCAATCTGATCCAAACTCACTTCTTTAGCTATACATGCCCCCTCCCCTTACCCACTTCATGTTCTGCCTAGATTCCAACTTTGTTCTTACTCAGGGCCTTTCACAACTCAGAATCTCTGCCGTTGTTCTGCTTAGAATGCCCATTTTACCTTTCTTCACCTGCCAAATGCGTACTCATTATTTAAGGCCCAGTAAAACTAAGGTCCTTTAAGGTCCTCTCCACTAGAAAGTATTCCCTAACTGCCCTGGGTCATAAGCCAAACCTCTTTTGTGATCCAAAGATACTTAATTAAACCACTTTCCTTACTGTATCGAAATGATCAGTTTACCTGCCCAGCCCCTCACCTCCAAATACATGACTTTCTCTCTTCTTGTCACTGATAACTACACAACTCAAACTGTGAGTACCTCAAAGGCAGGAATATCCTTGGATCCCCAGTGCCTAGTATAAACCAAGTATCCAATAAATGTTTATCAAATAAAAAAATGAATGAGTGAGTGAATGAATGTCTACCTTGATGGCAGAACATCTAGGACATAAAAAGTTTGATGAAAGAAATTCATGACAATCACAGGAAGAGGAAGGAGATGAAAGGATGGATGTGACTTCATAAATTGATAAAATATGTGCCATATATATATATATATATATGTATGTTATGTATATATTACTTAAGGGCCTCAAGTGGCCATGAATAATAAATACAAATAATATTTATGGACACAAAGATAAGCGCTTTATTTACCCTAGAGGCTGGAAATTCTCTTTCTAAGCCATTATTATCTTGATGGGTCAAAATGCTTTTTGGCACACACAGTAAGTTACCAAATGATGAACTATATATGTGCCAAACAGTATAACAAAGTACAGTTTAACCTAGTAAGTGGCATCAACTCTTTCTGTGCCTCTACAATCCATTTATCTAAATCCTACTTAGTTGGAGGAGTATAGTTCTCATGTATCTAAATAGCTCTTTCCAAAGTTTAGGTAAATGGTTCACATATACAATAAACAAGGCTGTACAAATCAGCTATCTGATTTCACAAAAGAAAATAATTTTTGCAAACCATGCATTTTTCTGGAAAGAAAGAGACACAAAGGAAGGAAATTAAGATCATGTCAAACAAGCAATTAAAAGCTGTCTAAAGATAGATTTTTTTTTCCAAGTCCCTTAAAGGAAAACTGGCTAAGAATTCCAAGCAGTCCAAAGAGAAATGAACCACTAAAAACAGATCTGAAATCTCAATGGAAACAGGCTTCATAGTAACAGATAGGGAAGAGTTTAAGAATATAGAAACCAGATCTTTAAATAGACACACACACACATAAAAAAAGGAATGCTAGAATAGAAATTTTTAAAAAACAGTGGTGTTAGAGGTAGGTAATGGATCACAAAATAGTTAAAATACAAATACAAAGAATGTTATTACCATAAGATCTCATCAAATAAGAATAGAAATGTGAACTTAACTAATACCTGTGACAACTAGAATTTATTGACTGAATATTAGCCTTTGAAATAGATGTCAATATTCTGTAGGTTTTTTGGAAACTCTAGCTAACCTTACAGTTAGCATATATCAGTTAGGACCAGGAGAGGGGAAAGAGAAATTACTATTCATTGACTCTTAAAGGAATTAGAAATGATAAGCCTAACTAAGCCAGAGTCTCAAGGATTTGAAACCTCCCTCCCTTGGTCTTATGAAATAGATTATATTTCTTTGTGGAAAATAAGATCTTGATCTTGACCCACAATGCTGTATAAAATTATGTAATAGTAATGCATATTTATGACCCATAACAATTACCACTGAACTTGGAAAAAAATCACCTACTTCTCTTAGCAGAAGAAATAATGTTGCCTGCTGATAGTTGTTCATAGTTTACAGTTCACTGATGCCATTATTACATTTGGAATATTGTAAATTAGTGACAGAATATAAACTAGCTACTAAATTAATTCTTAATTTGTTAATCCCATTAGCCAAAAGGTGAGACGAACTTCTAGCATCATGCATCTATTTCAAATTTACCTGAATACTATAATTACACATGCCTGGTTTTATAAGGAAAAAACCTAAAAACTGTAAATAATGTCAAATGAAACATATATTTCCAAATAACACTAAGTAAAAATTCCATGGGAAAGCTTATATTCAGTGACACTGGACTTCTATGCCTTTTCTCACCTCAAGTGTCCTTCCTGGAGATGAATGTTAGCTATTTATACATGACCCTTACTTTATAATATTCTGCTTCAGACCTGCTTTTCCTAGAAAAAAAAGCAAAACTAAGAAAACTTATATTCATTAAATTTCAATGTTTTACAGCTTTACTTGCTCAAATAATCAACTTAAAATTATGTGAACTATGACTCAGAGATATATTAATTAGCAAATGAAATTACAAAATGTATCCTATTATTTCTAAATTAATATAGGGACAATAGTGGTTGGAAGCATGGGCTCTAATCATTGCACCTAGGTTTAAATCCCAGATCTGCCATTTATCAGCTCTGTGACCTTGAGCAAGTTATTTAACTTCTCTGTTCTCAGTTTTCCAAACAGCAAAGGAAATGAGGCTAATAATAATACCTGTCTGACAGAGTTAGAGTTAGACAAGTTAACACAGTTGAAGTGCTTAGACAGCAAGGCACAGAAAACATAACCTTTATATAGGTGTTCACTGTTTATTGAAATCTGAAATCTGTAAAAGAAGCTGAGAAAGGTGTTGCACATATTTCATTTTACCTAATTTTTTTATGCTGATGGACAGTGACTGTAATGGGGTTTGTGGGGGGGACTTGGTGAAGGGGGGACCCTAGTAAATATAATGTTCATGTAATTGTAGATTAATGATAACAAAAAAAGGAAGGATAAATGTTTTTACTTAAATGTGCATAAAATATATCCAGAAAAACATGCAAGAAAAAAAAATATATTTGAAGAAAAAAAGTATCTTTCTTCCCTTCAAAACTCACAACCCTAATGGTCTTAACTTTTCCAGAAATGCTACAACTATAGCTTGAATGATAAATATTTCCCAAAGTGAAAGGCCACACAGATGAAAGTTATTTTACTCACTTTCCTAACTCAATAATACATAACTGTATTAACTTTTAGGGTATTCTGGAATTTGGAACATTTTTCAAATAATGAAATAGAATTATAAATTAGTCTTAGACTATGATTATTAAAATTCTCAGTTATTCTTTATCCATCTATCTTCTTCTGTTTATACTATGCCAAGTGGGGGGGTGTAAAATAGACCCCCAAACCCTCATGCAATAGAAGTTGATATAACTGAACACCAATACTACCTTTGTCACTTCCATAATAATAGAAGACTGTTTTACTGAGAGCACACCACCGTTTCTGCCATTCAAATCCCAGAAAGCTGTGATCTACAATAAAGGGGGAAAAAGAACAGTTTAGATAATACACATTATATAATAAATATAAAACCATTTCCTTATTATAAAAGTAAAAGTTAGTTAATATGATTTCTAAGGTTTCTTTTAGCTCTAAAATTCTATAATTTGTTTTCCAAGAGACAGCCAAAAAACAAAGCTAAAAGGAATAAAGTGAGGCAGAGATGTGGCTGCTACATTTATGGGATCAAATGCATGGCTAACAAACTTTCTGACAGAGACAGTCAAAAAGGCATTTGACTGTATAGCCTGGAGATAATATATTCATCTGGGTTTGATTTTCTAGTCTGTTATAAAAAGAGAGGAAAGAGTTGACCTAGATTATTTCTATTATCACTTTCAGCTTTAAAATTCAGCTAAGAAAGCTAAGAAAAGCAAATGGAATATAAATAGAAAGGCCCAAAGGGACTACCTGAGAGATAAGCAGAATAGTAATGAAGAGACTTTCTGCTTTTCATTCCCCATATCATAACACCACCTCCATATTTCATTTCCATTATATAGTGGTGTTGAAAGAGTGAGACCACATGGCCAGCTCCCAATTATCATAGCAAATGGAGAGGAACACCAAGTAAATAACAGAAAATGGCAGACAATATGCCAGGCTTGATTGGAACCATAGCAGACATGGTGTATGCCAGGTTAGGTGCAGGGTATAACCTGCTGCTCAGCCCAATGGGGTAACGGTGAGAAATCCCATCCTTGAGAATACAGTCATGGCTGCAGCCTTCCTCTTCGAGGATTGAAACAGCCTCTGAATCATTTACAAATAACTGAGGTTGACAACTAAAAAGGTGACCAAATGTTTTGTTACTAAAAATTACTTAGAGCTGAAATCTGTACTTTGTGGTTTGGATAATGTCATCCAGATTTCTTCAGTCTTAAAATTCTTCAATCATCTGAAGATAATACTGGCTCCACATATATACCGCAAGCATGTTTTAATCGAGGGATAAAACCATTTTTAGATTTTTTCATTTGAATCTTACAGTTTACCTTTTCTACGTTTTTCAAGATAGCCAGCCTTTAAAACAAAAGGAAGGTCCTGTGCTGCAATTGGAGGAAACTGGTTCCCTGTGGGAAGTAGAGGAGGAAAAAAAAGTAGTGAGTAATTCATTTTAGAAAAACCAAGTACCAGATCTCATTAGATTCATGTACTTTTAATTACCCAAATTAATTAAATCCAAGTCTATTAGCTTTGTTTCAGATCCATTCTATAGACTTCCCCCTCTCCTCCTCCTGTAACTCTGAAGAACAAAAAAATTTTCTGTACTCCTATATTTTATTATATTAACCTCCCCAAAATACAGTAATATAATGTAATTGAATGATTTCTAAAGGCCAATTCTATTTAATCTACATTCTATAAGGAAAGGACTAGGAAACTACTATAAATAAATGCAATAATCCCTTAAAGAGCAGTTAGGAATTTCAAATACATCATATAGGCTTCTTTACATTTATAGTGGATTGACTGTTCAAGAATTTTTTTTTTGGTACCATTAATCTACAATTACATGAGGAACATTATGTTTACTAAACTCCCCTCATCACCAAGTCCCCTCTACATACCCCATTACAGTCACTGTCCATCAGCATAGCAAGATGCTATAGAATCACTACTCGTCTTCTCTGTGTTGCACAGCCCTCCCGTGCCCCGCCCCTACATTATGTCTGCTAATAGTAATGCCCCTTTTTTCCTACTATCCCTCCCTTCCCACCCATCCTTCCCAGTCCCTTTCCCTTTGGTAACTGTTAGTCCATTCTTGGGTTCTGTGAGTCTGCTGCTGTTTTGTTCCTTCAGTTTTTTTGTTTGTTCTTATACTCCACAGGTGAGTGAAATCATTTGATACTTGTCTTTTATGCTTGGCTTATTTCACTGAGCATAATACCCTCTAGCTCCATCCATGTTATTGCAAATGGTAGGATTTGTTTTCTTCTTATGGCTGAATAATATTCCATTGTGTATATGTACCACATCTTTATCCATTCATCTACTGATGGACACTTAGGTTGCTTCCATTTCTTGGCTATTGTAAATAGTGCTGCGATAAACATAGGGGTGCATGTCTTTTTCAAACTGGGCTCCTGCATTCTTAGGGTAAATTCCTAGGAGTAGAATTCCTGGGTCAAATGGTATTTCTATTTTGAATTTTTTGAGGAACCTCCATACTGTTTTCCACAATGGTTGAACTAATTTACATTCCCACCAGCAGTACAGGAGGGTTCCCCTTTCTCCACAATCTCGCCAACATTTGTTGTTGTTTGTCTTTTAGATGGTGGCAATCCTTACAGGTATGAGGTGATATCTCATTGTGGTTTTAATTTGCATTTCTCTGATGATTAGCGATGAGGAGCATCTTTTCCTGTGTCTGTTGGCCATCTGAATTTCTTCTTTGAAGAAGTGTTCAGCAACTCTGTCCATTTTTTAATTGGATTATTTGCTTTTTGTTTGTTGAGGAGCATGAGCTCTATATTTATTTTGGATGTCAATCCTTTATTGGATCTGTCATTTATGAATATATTCTCCAATACTGTAGGATGCCTTTTTGTTCTATTGATGCTGTCCTTTGCTGTACAGATGCTTTTCAGCTTGATATAGTCCCACTTGTTCATTTTTGCTTTTGTTTCCCTTGCCCAGGGAGATATGTTCATGAAGAAGTTGCTCATGTTTATGTCCAAGAGATTTTTGCCTATGTTATTTTCTAGGAGTTTTATGGTTTCATGACTTAGATTCAGGTCTTTGATCCACTTCAAATTTACTTTTGTGTATGGGGTTAAATAATGATCCAGTTTCATCCTCTTACATGTAGCTGTCCAGTATTGCCAGCACCATCTGTTGAAAAGGCTGCCATTTCCCATTGTATGTCCATGCCTCCTTTATCATATATTAATTGACTATATATGCTTGGGTTAATATCTGGACTCTGTATTCTGTTCTAATGGTCTGTGGGTTGTTCTTGTGCCAGTACCAAATGTCTTGATTACTGTGGCTTTGTAGTAGAGCTTGAAGTTGGGAAGCAAGATCCCCCCTGCTTTATACTTCCTTCTCAGGATTGCTTTTGCTATTAGGGGTCTTTTGTAGTTCCATTTGAATAAGAATTTTAATGCATGTTGATTCTTACTTGCATATCTCTGCTCCTACCAAGTAAAACATAAAATAACTTTTCCCCCAAATCAAATGCTTAAATTTGTTTCTTAGAGTCCACAGAAAATATTCTCTCTTGCTGGTTGTACTCAAAGAGAAATCTTGTAGACATTTAATGGAATGCTTTAGGTTTTTCTACTATGTTTAAGAGTTTAAAACTAGGTGGAGAACTATCATAAAGAAATAACAGATAGCTTCAAAAAATTTAAAGATTAAGCCAAAAGTTAAGTCAATTAGAAACCATATATTCATGCTCATGATTGCCGGTTTCTCATAATTTCACAAGTGTTCAATAATTTTATAAACTTCATTAGAAATACAACACAGTTATCTCAGCATTTCAGTAGAACTCTAACAAGTGAAACCGACCAAATCTAATGAAAGTTTCTATGGAATACATTCAATGAAAACTGTTTTAATATAGCTTATATTATAAAAAAGCATTTTGATAGTAAGTTTATTATATAAAAATTCATCACAAATACCAGCTGGGCTTTTTAAAAATATCATGGGGTCCAAAAGTTATAAAATAATAAATATTTTTCCATAAGAAATAAAAATTAAAATTAAACCACTAATTTTAGTTCTTTGGTAGATCAGTTTTACTCAGTAAACACAAATATGATGAAAATATATTTAATTTTAAAATATATACAAAATTTCAGAGAAAGTCAATATAAATATTTGAATAGTTCAGTAAATGTATCCATGTTTATTTTTTCAGAATAAACTTGATCCATCAAAGGTAGAAGTTAATCTACTATAATATTTTTGTACGTATTTAAAAATCACAGAAGTCTTATCTGTGTGAACAGGTCCTAGTCAACCACTAAGTTAAAGAGGGTGACTGTGGTTTGATTCGTTTTTTAAAACAAGAAAAAAAATAATAATGACCAATAGCACTTTTTTATTAACCTAGTTTACACTGACAAAAAGTAAACACAGAAATATTGTATAACATAGAAGTATGATATTCTAGCTAACATAAAACCATTTAGGGAAATTTTCTTTCTAAATAAGATCCCTGAAAATACTATTTACTTCCCATCTGAGCAAGACCATAGTTTAATTTCCACAGAAGTCTGCTTGTGCTTAGACTTTTTATATAACTGGCATGCAGAGTTCCTAACTCAACAACACAAAATCTCTGCAAGAAACATATATGAATGGCATTTCAGGATGACAAAGCGAACATGTTCATTATATATTTTTATATTGTATGTCACAAAAAAATTACAAGTGGTTTTTCCACAGTGGTAAAAACTAGAATAGTCACTGCAAAGATCCTATAAATAATTTTGTATCTTTAAGATGATGGAAACAAACTTTCAAGCACTGTCCATTTTGGATGAAATTAAACTACAGAAGGCAACCTTTCAATTTTAACGTCTAATGGTGCTACTTTAACTGGACATGGGGAGGCATTAATTATCTGTACTTGGCTGGATAAGGCTCACTGAGTAATCCCATGACCCTCTCACTTCCACTGGGCATAATAAATATTCTTTACATATAAAATGAATGCTCTGAATCTTAACAAAACTTCAAGTTATTCTGAAGAGAAATGAGTGCCTTTAGCATAGCTTTCAACCTATAAAAAGTTACTGGTCAAAAAAAAGGAGAAGGAAGAAAGACAAATACCATATGATTTCAATTTTATATGGAACCTGAAAATCAAAACAAATAAAACAAGACAAAAACAGACTCATAAATACAGAGAACAAACTGGTCGTTGCCAGAGGGAAGGGGAGTATTGGGTGCATAGGTGAAGGGAATTAAGAGATGCAAACTTCCACTTACAAAAAAAGTAAGTCACAAGGATGAAAAATACAGCATAGGGAATATAGTCAATAATATTGTAATAATTTTGTGTGGTGACAGATGGTAACTACACTTACAAGGTGACCATTTCATTACATATATAAATGTTGAATCACTATGCTGTACACCTAAAACTATTATACTGTGTGTCAACTATACTTGAACAAAAAAAGTGAGGGAGAGGAGGAGGAGCAGAGGAGAATTAGAATTTACTAAGTGAATATATATGTAACCTGAGGCTTTTGCTTTAAGAAAAATGTTGATTAAATTTCCATCTGATAAATCACAATAAAATGGGATGTCACAAACAATACTTATTCGCAATTCTAAATTCATGCTTCTAATATAAAATTTTCGAATTCATTTTTAAAGGGGGAAAAAAGCAAGTGTTCTGGCTACAGTTTCATTTTTCTAAACCTTTTTTCTCTTTGTCTAATATCTATGATTTGTTTAAAACATATGTGAATTTTTTAAAAAACAAAAGTTTATTAATGATAAATCCTTAGCTCTTTAGATACCTTAGATACCTTAGCTCTTTAGATACTTTAGATACCTTAGCTCTTAAGTTCTTAGAGGAGCCATTTGATGTGTATAGCACCATAAACATTAATGCTCAAAATGTTTTTGGTGATAGAAACTGAAAATTTGTAAAAATACATATATAAAAAGTATGCCATTTCTCTTTAGAAACCATGAATTCTCACATTATTTAGACCTCATTCCACTACCTACAATGATCAATAGCATGTCACCATTTTAAAAGATTCATACTGACCCAAAAAATTAATATTATACAAATGCAGATATAATGTTCATGAAGGGTGGGAAAGGAAGATAACATAACATAAACCTATCTGGTAGGTAACAACAAAGAGCTGCCAAACATTTGCCAAACAACACAATGCCATTATTGCACCATGGCAAATAACACAACACAGTCAGTTACACAACAGTCCAACAAGTTCACAATTAAGTTATCAGTTATGTTTCACTATCAAAATTCACACAACTGTCCCCAAAATAAGTTTTGTGCTGATCTTAATTCTTTGCCACACAGTAGACATTCAGCAAATGTTATTTTATTGTTATAAATATTATTTATTAT